GAGGGCCAATTGTGGGCGTGGTTCAGCTTTCATAGTGCCAGGAGGACAGACTGGGATGGTTGCAATAGTGGTAACATTATATCTGTTAATGTTTACCTATAGAATTTACCTTTGTAGAGGGTGTTCGGATTAGCGATTGCAATGGAAATTAATCTTTTCCAAGTTCTGTGGTATAATACTTAATTCCTACATACATGTCTACTAGAGGATGAATCCATTGAAACCAAATTTGTCTTGATCAGTTTTGCAAAAGTATTTTGGAAGATTACCAAAATCACTTATCATCTAAGATCCTACCTTTGCAAGTTCATAATAAGAAAATGTAATGGCACTATAATGATCAAGGAAAAGAGCAGTACTCAGTTACATGAAATAATCTGCACAGGCAAAGAATAATGCCAGAAATGAAAAAAATAGGTTGTGACAAATGCATGATGATTGGGTGGGGATCCAGGGACAGAGCCTTTGGATTAGGAAAGTTTTTGATTCATACAGTGATGTTTGTAGATCCTTTGTGATGGAGAACAACAACAGGTTCACACATGTTACAGAGTGCAGAATTTAAACAAGGAATAATAATTGCAAGGTTGGATGACTGTGGGAAACAAAAAATTACTTAAATAACATTGTGTTATTTATGATTTTTTTTTCTTTTCTTCTCATGTTATTTGATTTTCCATTACTTATATTACATACCCTTATATAACCTTGTGAGTGATGAGTGACATAGACCACATTTTCTTCTTTCATGATATATTGAAGTATAAAAGTTATGAAGTAAGTGTATATAAAGTATTGAAAGTAATGCATTACCTTGGTCATTTTTTGTGAATATTGTTTCTATGAGTTTAGAAAGATTTTCCTCTCATCTGTCCGAAATGTGTAGAGAAGGGAGATTTTGAGAGGAAAAGATGCAGCTGAAATATTCCAGAAATAGTCATTGAAAGTCATAAAAAGTAATCTGACACCAGAATATTGGCTTTGAGTTACTGTTCCAAGAAGACATCTAATGAGTCTCTCACAATTGCATTTTTCCCTTTTGAGATGTTGAACTGTATACTCTCTTTAGATTAATTTTGAATCCAGAGGAAAGTGATCCTATTTTGAGGAGCTATATGGAAAAGGTTAAGCAGATATTGTATTGCAAGGACAACTTGGATTCCTTATGTTGTTAGATATTATATTTAGAAAAGGGTTTCTAGACATATTGATCCTCTCACCATATAACATATAACATGAAAAAAATGTAAGAGATTTCATTCCTCCATATTGCAGACAGACAAGTATTTACACAGACAAATATGTACAGACATATGGAGTGTACATATTACTTCATATTCCTACAAAGTATTTTTGTCATGTTTGTTTCTGAATTTACTGATAGAGCTAATATGACAGGTTATCCAGTGATATGAATAATTATGAATTATTGGAATAGACCTTCATGTCTATTTGTTGTTAATTTTATCGGAGTCATGTATTGTCGATTGCACACATACCTGTATTTATTCATATATGAACAAATACATGTATACAAAAAAGGACTTTTTCGATAATAAAGCAGAATACTTGTGCTATGTGGCATCTACTCAGATCATGGCAAACCATGCCCAAATGCCAGGTGACTGTATGTGATCAAGCCTGCTCTTCAAGTTGTGTGAAGTAAACAGCTGTTCATATGTTTGGACCTAACTACTGTTATTGTCGAGAGTAGGTTTAAAGTCTCTCTTTGCCAAAATAGTTTATGCCATAGCCAAAAGCCTGGGAAGTAAATGGATTTAGTGAGGAAAAATGTTTCCTGCATTTTTCCCTTAAGCAGCAGACTGCACATGAAGCCCTGTGGATGGCTCAGTATGGTGCAGTAGTATTTGAAAACTGATATCATGTAATTTGTTAAGAATGTATAGGTATCACTGTATTTTCTGTATTTCAGGAAACAAGTGATCTAAACTGGTAGCCACCATGGGAGCCGCATCTGCAGTGTTTTTGGTATTTCTTGGTTGTTGCTCAAATGTTATCTTTCTTGAGCTGCTTGTGAAAGTGAATTTACAGTTACCCTTTAAGATAAGATATAGAAAAAGTTAAACATTTTTTAGATCCCATATCAGAAACCTGAATGATATGATCCTTTTAGTTTAAATAAGGAGGCTTCAAAGCTTCATTCATGCTACAAGTTTTGTCTGTAATTGTACACATAAGGCAGTCATTTTTTATAGATAAAGAAAAAGGTTGCTTTAAGTTTAAGGCTAAACTGTTTGATGAGTGTGTGCTAAAAATATCTTTTAATAGTGTTATTACTGTACTCTAATTAATCCACAGGAATGAGCCTGGCAGTGGAAACATCATCACTTGTGCGCAGTTTGTTTTCATTGCGATTGAGGGCTATATATTTACTTCCGATTTTGGTAGAAAGAAAAATGTGATACCAATTAAGTAAGTAATTTTCTTGGAAAGTAATGCAGCTGTGCCAATACACATGGATGTAGTCATTTGCTCTTCC